GGGCCATCTCTGAGGCACAAAGCAGAGCCATGGGCATTGGCACGCAAGGGGAGGGTGAGACTCAGGCAGTGGGCTCCTGTTGAGACACTCGCCCTTGCGGCTGAGGAAGATGTCCCTGGCTGCTGCTGAGCCAGCAGCCCTCAGGGCCTACCTTGCTGCATGCCTGCACACAAGTGGCCTCCTCAGGTTTCGAGCACAGCCTGCAGAAGGTGGGGAGCCCAACCACTGCCTGAGTGAGGACTCCATCTCCCCGGCCACGCTGGCGGGCAGTGGAGGCAGTGGGAGCTGGTTGTAACACGTCCAGCAGCGCCTGGCCGTCCTCCCTGCTGGGTGGCTCTCCCTTCAGGAAGACCCCTGTGGCAGGTGTGAGAGCGCTAATGGTGGTTGTGTGACAGGTTGCTCATCACGGGTCCCTGTGCTGCTTCCTGCCATCTCTCACCAGAGCAAGTCTGGCCGCAAGGCATCTGCAGCTACAACCTGTCCCGCCCTCAGCCAAGCGAGAGAGGCGGGCTATTCCTCATCTCCCTGCCTTTGTGGCTTCCAACTCCAAGCCGGTGCTTCTGCACCAGTCCCGTTCTTGCCTTGTCTCAGCCTCCCTTCCTTGCAGCTGTTGCTGGGATCTTGTCTCTCCCCAGTCAGGCTGCCAGCAGTTCCTCCAGCACAGCTGGAAGTGGGGGAGTTTCCAAGTGCAGATGGGAACTGTTTCCTCCCAGCTAAGAGACATCTCTCTCTCTCCAGGAGTGCGTGTGGGAACAGCACAGGAGGATGTGTGTCACCTGCAAAAGGGATGTCCAGAGGCCTCTTCCCCCTTTCACGCCCATTGCTCACAACACATCTCCCAGCCTTTGCCATGCGCCATCTGCAGCCTTCCCTCTCCCCAAAGGACAGCTCCTGGTTTTGCCGGAGGCTCAGGACTCCCCTTTTCCCCCTCCAGCACTCACCCTCCCGCTCACCCACAGGCCTGCTCCTCCCCAGCCTGACACGCCTTTCTCACTAGCACCTGCCACTCCCAACAAGGCTCTGGGGCAAAGCGGCACCGTGGCTCGCTCCCCACTCAACAAGCTGCTCAGGGGCCTCCCAGGAAGCAAGAGCTGAAGCTCTCCACACCCTTGTTCTCTTCCCCCTGCCAGCTCAAAGCCGCCTCCAAACCTCAGCCCAAGGGCTGGAGCCAACCATTCCGATGGCTGCCTGGCATCCCACACCTCTGCCCCGGGGAGCCTTTTGACACACATCCCCCACTGGTTAAAGCACTTGCTCGCCCATACTGAGTCCACCTCTGCTGGCCCCCGGGGGAGCAATTCCCCATACGGCTGTAAGACGGGAGCATCAGGTGGTACACAGAAGCCAAGGGATGCCTGAGGAGGGAAAACCATGCATGAAAGACAGTAATCACAAGTCATCTACAGCCTGCATTACTTTGCCTTGACCTCTGTTGCCTCCTCTTGCCTTGCCTTGCCTTGCCTTGCCTTGGCCAGCCTTGCCTTGGCCAGCTTTCTCTTGCCCTATCGGCAACTGTGACGTCACAGAGAAGCCCCTTGGCAGGGCAGGGCTGGAGCATCTTGGGGCAGGAGAAGGCTCCTGACACACTGACAGTGGTGGTATTGGTGTTGGTGTTGGTAGGGAACCCGAGAGAGAGCCCAGAGAGAGCGGAGGAGGCCCAAGAGGCGCACCAAGGCCTCCCCAGAGCAGCATTTGGTGGAAGAGTCAAGTGCAGGAGTGCATGTGGGAACAGCACAGGAGGATGTGTGTAATCTGCAAAAGGGATGTCTAGAGGCTGGAAGCTGCTGGTAGGAACCTACAGTAGAACCCTGCTGACAGTTTCCTGGACAAGGCATTCAGTGCTCATGTAGATGGAGACTAATATGGTGGCCAGAGACACAACCGTCACATCCATCTCCAGGAAGGCAAAAGAGTCCTTGATCTCTTCCCTGGCCACTCAGTGCATGGCTAGAGATAGGGCAGCATCTGTGTCAGAGCACACTTTCATGCCAAGCTTTTCAGCTTTTCTCATGCTTGATGACAGATATGGCTTTTGTCGTTTTCATTTCTCTCTTCTCCCTTTCATCTCCTCTCCTGTTTTCTCCTTCTGTTCGCTTCTCTTCTCTCTTCTTCTTGTCTCCCTTCCCCTTCCTTTGCTTCATCGTTCCTTCTTTCATAGCTGTTCAGTTTTCCCAGGACAAGGCCATTACAGTTACTCATTTCATTACTTTTTAGGAGTTTGAAATTCCTAATTATGCTCTGAATGGCTATGGAAATAGATGATCCCACAGCAGTGCTCTGTGAGAAAGAGCTGCGTGTAGGGCTTGGCAGGTTTTCCACCATGATGGAGGGACGGTTGGCTACAGTGCAATTCTGGCAGTGTCTAGCACAGGGCTCAGTTCAGCTCTTGGCCAGTAGGGTTTGGCTGCAAGGCTAGCACGGCTGGCATGGCAGGGAGTGATTGTAGCAGAGATGTCACTGGGCTGATGGTGCACCTGGGAGAAAGGGCAAGGGAAAGCAGAGTGTGGGATTGGGTGAGGAGCAGCCTGTCATCCCACAATGTGAGATTCAAGGTACCTTCTGTGTGAGGAGGTGGATGCATTGCAGAGAAGCCTAATAATTCATTGTCTTTAGGTCCCAAGGATCCTGTAAAGAGCAGCCAGGCCCATGAAGGGCTGGGTCATGGCCATGAGGCTCAGACCATTGCATACGAACTCTTCTTTTCTTTCATCATCCTTCCTCTTCTTGCTCCCTCTCTCCCTCTATTCATTTCCTCTGCCTCTCTCTTCTGATGTTTCATGTATGTGTCCCTAAGGGAGTTCTCTCTTCTACTGCTGTTTGAAATTTCTGTCCACGGAACACAAATGCAGTCAATATTTTGAAGGTGCAACTACTGTCATCCTACTAACATTAACAGGTAGTCCCTCTCTCTTCTGGCTGGCACATATAATGAAGTATGCTGTGGTCACTGACTTCTTCTCATATGTCAGTGCTGCCAAAGACCCCTCTTTCCTCCATTCTGGCTTTGATTTGTGGATACTGGGACCCAGGAGCCACCCTGGATGACAGGAAATTACAAGCAGGATACAACATTCTCAGCTGCTATGTGAGTCCCAGCACTAGGGCCAGACACAACAGTCTGTTTCCCAGGATCTTTGAGCAACAAGACAGTGCAATACAGTTGCCTTCAAGAGGCATCCCAGCATGAGGTGGTGGTCATTATTACACTGGACCACAGGGAACTGAGAGCTCTTGCCCTCACCACCTTGCTGTCCCCAACTCACATGTTCTTGCAGAATAACAAGGAACAGGAAGCCTTCTTCCACAAGAACTTCATCACAGCTCTAGGTTTGCTTCCTTGAGTCTTTCCTCACACTGTTGCTCTCTCTTGCTTTCTTTCAGACACTGTGGACCAGACCACTGTGACCCAGAAAAAGGGCCTAGTCATGATGGGATATAGACACCTTCCAGACCAGACCACTTGTACTTACCAGAGCTCTAACTTTCATATTACGATCTGATAACAGCAGAGGAGAGGAAAAATTCCCCTAGTTGTTGTCATATCTGGCAGCAGCTGGCTCCAAGAAGAGTAGGCCATTTGCCACATTGCCAAACACCTCAGTGAAATTCACCCTCCTGTGCCAGAGGAAGCCAAGACCTCCTTGTACCTCTGTGCTATGCACAACATCCTGGTGCTTGGGCCTTTCTTGGCTGTGCAGGCCCAAGGGAGCAGGTGCAAAGCCGAGCTCCAGGGAAGTGGCCTTCATCTCCCCCTGGCAGTGTCATTTCCCCTGTTCACCCAGGTATCTCCAGTTAGAGATTCCTTTTCTCATGCAGAAAAGAACTTGACGAGAGCCTGTGAACAGATCACTGAATCTGCCCAAATGGGGCATTTCTGAAGAATCTAAGGCGTGCTGCTTCAATGGAAACTGGACCTCTGAAACCAAGAAGGGAAAATCACCTGGAACAGGAAGGAGATATTCTGTATGTTTGGTCATCCTTGTGACTATCTGCATAAACTTGTCTCCACTCAGTGGGAGGAGATCACAGGAGGGCATTCGGGTGAAAAGTGCAGAGTTTCTCTTCCTGACAGCTTTATAGGACAGGACCAGGAGTGAGGCATGATGCATGATAAAGGCTGTCACTAAACAGGACATCTAGCTGTAAGTGACTCTGGCTGAGCATGAGCATGGAATCATATGGTGTGGAAGATCGCTTTGGTCAGCTGGTGTCAGCTGTCTCAGCTCTATTCCCTCCCAACCTTGGAACTGTTCTTCCCCTGCATCCCAGGATGGGATTGCACTTGCCATGAGCTGCAAAGAAAGAGTATGGGCTATTCTGAATGGTGCTCCCTCTCCAGTGCCATGGGAGGAATTGTCAGTCGCTCAACTGTGTCACCTTGCAGGCCCATGCAAATACGCTTTGTGTCCCAGAGATGACTGTCTGATGGGGACTGGGGATGTGCAAGACGCCTCAGCCCTGCAAATCTGTGTAATGAACTTCTAGTCACCTTATGGGTGTGACTGAAGAAGACAGGACGATCCTTGCCCTTGGATGCATGCCATGTCCCCTCGTTCTGGAGATGGGTGGGAATGTGAGCATGAGTTGTCTCTGGGCTCTAGCCCACCTGGTTTCTATTACTGTCCTCAAAGCCATGTACTGTCTCAGAATTCTACCCTGTAAAGCTCCATGAAGACCAAGACAAACTGCCTTGATTTCTTGTGGGGCTGCTGACTGCCCAGGGCCTCCTGCAGAAATAGGGTCCTCCCATGAAGACAGCACAAGTTAGTATCACTTTCTGTAGGGCATGCTATGAGGCCCAGGGTAATATTACTGGGCAGAGATGAAACAAGGGAGAAGGCTGATGGTGACTGGTGCTGGAGTGGCCAGGGATATCTTCATCAGCTCCAGGGAAAAGGTGCAAAAGAAAATGCACTGATGTGAGTCCCACCCTCCCCTTGCTCCTCCTTTTGCCTGGAGCAGAGTTGCAACAGAAGGAAGGAGGACTCGGAGGCCCAGGCTTGGATGCAACACAGTTTTATTGAGTGTAAAGAAGAAAAGGAGGGGGCTGAGAGGGTGCCCCAGGGGCAGCCACTAAGATGCAGTGGAGCTCCTGCAGGGTGTCCATCTGCCAGCCCGGAAGAGGGAAGGAGGCCAACAGGTTGCCACTAAGCTGGCATTGGCAGGTGGTGACAGGAAAGCTAAGGAAAAGAGAGAGAAGAGAGCAGAACGAGGAAAAAACGGCCTGAAGCTCTATCTCCTTTCCAGCATCATGTTCTGAGGCCTTGGGAGGTTCTTGCTCCGGATGTTGCCAGCAGGTTTAGCAGGGCTGACATCTGTTGCCACAGTAGCGGCTGGTGATGCAGGAGAGGTCACAGCAGGGAGAGTTGATGGGGACTCCGTCACAGCTGAGGATGCTGCCAACGGCAGCGGAGGTGGAGGAGCCCACCACGGTGTTCTGCGGGAAGGAGCTGAGGATGGGTCCAGGCAGGGTCACCACCACGGGGGAGGGCTCAATGACGACGATGGAGTTCTGGCACTGCCTGACACAGGGCTCATTGCAGCTGTTGGCCAGCGGGGTCGGGCCGCAGGGCTGGCAGGGCAGGCAGGGTGGGCAGCAGGGCTGGCACTGGTTGTAGCAGGACATGTCTCTGGGCCAGAGGTGCACCTGGGAGAGAGGGCAGGGGGAAGCAGAGCACGGGGACACATGAGGAGCACTACTGCACCCAGCCACGACGGGAACCAACGCACCTCCTGGACCAGCCAACGCTGCCCACCTCAAAGCCCACGAGACACCTCCACTAAGTCCCAGCCCCTCTCCGCACAAGACCTTCTCTCCCCTTCCCTCTCCCAGGAGAAGCAGCTCCCAGCCCTGGGCTCGCACAGCCCATGTCAGCCGAGGCGTCCATCGGGGAAAGACCTGATCTCAAAGGAGGAGGAGAAGAGGCTTCACACTCACCTGATTCCCAAGGAGCAGGAGGCAAGAGAAGTGGATGAGAGAGCAGAGACTTGCGCTGCCTTTTATAGTCGTCCTGCACTGCCTCAGGCCCAGAGGCACCCTTTGCGGAAGTCCTAATTTTCTGACAAGCTCCTGTCAAATGCAAAACATCCCAGCTAATGGGATGGGCTGTGTCCTGCTTTCCTGCGCTGCCGCCTTTTCATTTCCTGGCTGAAGACACGTGCTTTCCCATTTGAAGGCTTCTCTAAGTGCCGGCATGAGAGGCCTGCCTGAGGATTTCCGGGGCAGAAACACGTCAGCGCCGGCAGAAGACTCAGCTCCAGTGCTGATGGTGCCCTGTGCAGAAAGGTGATGTCACCTGGGTCATTCTTGTGGGCTTGTTTGTGGCAAAGTTGTCTGGAGATAAGCACCACTTTCAGGTTTCTCATCAGGATGCCCAAGGGCTCCCTTGGGAGAGGACATACCACATCCTTCTCTCTTGCTCCCCTCATTTCTCTCTGATGGTTGCTCACTGTTCCACACAGGTGGGCTTCTGCTGGCAGGCTTTGACGCTATAGACACATTAACGGTGCTCTCAGGACAGTTTTGGTGGGTTCATTTTCCTCATCCCCTCTCTGTGCAGTCTCTGTGGCAACTCAGGGAAAACCTTGAGCGCTTCTGGTGTCTGGTCCTTCCCCTGTGTACTTGAGTTTTGTTCTGTCAATATGGTCCCCAGCATCTCCTCAGTAGAGTCCACAGTTGCTGATGTTTTCCTGGCTTTATGTGCAGATACAGATTTTTGCATGGTTCCGTGTAGGCGTACATGAGAACATGTGTCAGTCTGTACTGGTGTGGCCCATGTGCAGGTCATCACTCTCCCCTGGTGTGTCCGTGAGCGCCACAGAGTAGAAGGTTGCAGTTGCCAGAAGGAGCCCATCTGCACCTGAATGGTGGTGCATTTTGCCTTGCAGAGAAGTGCCCAGAGACCTGAAATGCAGTCCCTGCCTCCCGTGCCCTACATTTCCTCGTTTATGTCAAAGGAGAAGGGCCAAGAAACCCTGCCTCTCTATGCAGGCTGTTGTCCCTGAATCCATCCCTCCAGCATGGAGTGTTTCTGGTGACTGGGCTGGAGCACCGGCTCCTCATGGCCATGCCAATGCCACCTGCACTTCTACACCTCATCAGCCTCATGGTGAGTGAGGCAGGGGCTGAGACCTGGTATCAAATTGATATTGGACTGAAGGGACTATGGTGCATTTGTTGTTCTACTGTGAGATGTAGGATGGTTGGAGAGACCCAACTTAGAGGCAGCACCACTAAAGGCTTCCCCCTTCCCTTTGTTGGCCTTGCTGAAATCAGTGACAGATGATGCTGCCAGGAGGTTTCAGCCAGACCCAACTCTACCTCCCATGGGAGCCGCTTTCAAATTTAAGTTCTAGTGCTTGGCCCCCACCACAATTACATCTCCAGGGGTTACACATCAGTGCCTGTGTCTGGACATAGGCATCACTGATCTTACTTTGGACCCTGACATGCAGGTGACTTCCCAGCTTGACCTAAGACCTGCATGTCTATGAATGCACTTGATGATTGCTGGCCTCTCTTTAACACTGATTAGTGTAATGAGACCTCATCCTGTCCTTGACTCACTCACTGACCCACTGTTATTGTTATTTAACCCTGGCTGGCAGCCAAGCACCACACAGCCCCTCAGTCACTCCCCCCAAGGAGATGGGGAGTGAATCAGAGGGTAAACGTGAAAAAAATCATGGGTTGAGACCAAACAATTCAAGAACTAATGAAAAATTTCAAGAAAAAAAAAACAAAAACAAAAACAAAAAAAACCCAGGAAAAACAAAAGAAAACAATTGCTCACCACTAGCCAACAGATGTTCAGCCAGTCCCCAAGCAATGACAGCTCCCACCATCATCAACCCCCAGAATTATTGTTGAGCATGAAATTATTCGGTGTGGAATATCCCTTTGGTCCGTTGGGGTCAGCTGCCCCAGCTGTGTCCCCTCCCAACTTCTTGTGCAGGGCAGTCTAAGAAGCAGAAAAGGCCTTGTCGCGGGGTAAGTGCTGCTTGACAACAACTAAATCATTCCTGTGTTATCAACACTATTCCCAGCACAAATGCAAAACATAGCCCCACTCTAGCTGCTGTGAAGAAACTCTTCATAGACTTTGTCCTAGCCAAAACCAGTACATTCTGCGCCCTTTATTCTATACCATTTTTGTCATGCTCAAGTCCTACATTACCTATTACATCTTAACCACCACCCAGTCTTCCCATCCTTTGATAGGGACAGACATACTTAGCTTAGAAGATGGACCACCCTTGTACAACATCCGTAAAATGTTCATAAACGCCCATAAATGTCGATTGAGTTAATTTAGTTTGTGCCTCTGGGCTCCTTCTGTTACAGTGTTCACTTAAGACAGAAGATGTGGTATGTAGCATGGAGTTACTGGCCACTAAAGCCAGCGTAAGTTGGGTTTTGACTGCACTTCTACTGCTTCTTGTGAGGCTTGTCCTCTGTTCGTTTGAGTGATTCCTGCAATAGTAGTTCCTGTAACATCCCCATAACTCCGATCATAGCTTACAACAATTTAAAGGCATATCTGTTACTATGTCCACCCCAACCTCTTTGGACCAGGGTTTAACATTGGAATAGATTCCTCCTATTGCCCCTGCTTTGGCATGGACCTATCCACAGATTGCAGTCCTGTAGGGTTGTACCTGCTGCAGTGTGGCCTCATCTACGAGCCACAGTCTCTTCAGGGCTACAGTTCCTGTGTCATAGACTTCTCCACGGCCATGGATGCTTTGAGGTGCTCCAGCATGGTCTCATGCACAGCCACTCATGCTTCCGGGTGTACCTGCTCCATCATGGACTTATTCTTGGGCCATAATTCCTTCAGAGGTATACCTTCTGAGGCACTGATGTAATCACAGCCACAGACGCTTCAGGGTGCCCTGCTCCCATGTGGACTCATCCACAGGCCACAGTCCCTTTGACTCAAGGGCAAGAGGGTATCCAGTAGCAGAGCAATGGATATGGTGTGAGGGGAATCTAACCAGGTTCAATGGCTCTGATGTACCTCAACTCCTATTTCAAACACAACAGTGTCTTCAGGAGTTCCTTGTCTGCACCCACAAGATTGTGGATGCTTCAGGGGTGCCATTATTTTAATAATTACCGTGAGATGAGGGGGGAGGTTTAGAAAGAAGTTTTTAAGTATTACAGGAAAACACATCTAGATGTGGGCATTAATAGTGAAGCCATATGACCTTATAAAACTCAGAACAACAGAAGTGAGTCAGGTGCAGAGACATAAACATGAACAACAGAAGTGAGCCAATGGTTTGAAGCTGTTGTGTAATCTGTGTGGAGACAGAGGGTCATGGGACACTGGGAAGCTCAACTTCCTGTGGTGCCCCCACAACCCCATACCTTGTTGTCATCAGCTCAGCACTGACAATAAACTGAGGAGTCCTCTTGCAAAATTGGGAATTTGTGCTTGTAGTGAGCATGTATTTTGGGTTTCCAAAGACTATAGACCACAGCTCAAAAGAGTTACCGGGTGTCTGTCTAGTGCCTTAGGACCTGGAGACTTGTGGGTTTGATTTTTGGGTGTTGAATGTAATGGCTGAGGTAATCCCAGTCAGCCAAATTCAAATTCAGAGAAAAAACATCTAATGCTGGGCATGCTAACTCTTCTGAATTAACTAAGTGGAACATTTTTTTGGGTAATGTTTGGACTCAGCCTGCAGCCCCTGACCACAGGTTGATTTTGTGGTGGTGTGGACATACAGGAGACATTGGATGTGTACATCTTCAGGCTCACCTCTAGGAATTACTCCTGCCCTTGGCCTTGGATGAGCTGTGGAGCAAGGCACAACTCTGTAACAGAAAGGCACAGCTCTGAAAAATGGTAGCTAGGAAGGACAGAGCAGAATGGAACCACTGATCAAAGAGGGTCCTTACCTCTTTGCCCTTTACCAGTGAGCAACTACTTGTTGTCCACAGGATAGGCCAGGGTGTAGATGAGGGACCTTCATGCAGAGGAAAACACCTTCTGGTTTTGTTTTCAACTTCCTACTTGGGGTAAGTTGATTTCCACAGTCCCAGACCTGGATAGCTAAAGTCCTCCTTATGAGATTCCTCCAGATCAATTACTCTGATATACTGGGGCTGTTGTTCCAACCCATGCCCAGGAACTACAGTCAAAGCTAGTGAAACCACTTTTGAACCTAAGCTGCCCAAAAGAGACGGCTCACAGATGCTGCCAAGTGCAGAAACATGTCCCACTGTAACCACCACATCCCAGGGCAAAGTAGGTGGATCTGCCCTCACACAGAGCCTTTCAGCATCAGAACTGAGTCCTGGCACGGATGAGGCCTTAGAGAGCCCGTTCCCAAGGAAAGGTACTCTATACTTGGGGAACATCAGGTACCACAGAGCAGCTTCAGGAGTCTGGGAGCTGGTTGTGGTTCTGGATCTGCCCTGACCCGTGGGGATGTTGGTTTCACAGGAAATTGAGACTTGAGTGTGTGGTTTACTGTGGCCTGGCCAAAACTAACTTGTGAATCACCTCAGCCCTGCCTGTCTGTTCAACAGCTGAGTGAAGCCAGATGCTGCACCAAGTGATACGGTGTTGCATGAGCATCTTGTCTGTAATACCTGTGCCCAAGGGAGCTGGAAATGCCCCTGCTTGGTGGCTGCTCCTGGGACCCAATCCCAGTCCTGGTGTCTCTCCTTCAGGACAATGTTCTGTCTGGGCCTAGTCCTCCAACACAGCTTCATTCAGAGCAGGAGGCACCCTATTCCCCAACAGCTTGCATGGCCTCCAGCTCCCCACTTGGGGTCAGCAGAAGGCAGGCTTCCATCTGCAGGGCATACTCCAAGCCTGAGGAGGCATTTCTGGGCAGAGATGCAGCAAGGCAGCCCCCGTTGGCCTCTGTCACTTGGGCAGTTGGCAAATGTTCCTCAGGTGCAAGGAACACTGCGCAAAGGTCCCAGTGCAGTGTGCCCCAAGCTGTCCTTCCTCCCAGAATAGTGAAGGGTGCCTATGTGCCCTTATGTCATGTTGATTTGACCAGAGCAATGCTGGATAGTTTGTAAAAACATCCTGAGAGGGAAGGACCACACAGAGGCTCAGGTTGCACTGCAGCAGAATTTTAATGATTTAAAAGAGGGAAATGAGGTAAACAAGTGGTGGCTCTGATGCAGGGAGCACCAGATCATCCAAGAGCCTCTGCCTGGAGGCCAGGGTGGAGCTCCCAAACTGTGCCTACACCACAAAGGCAGGGGAGCAGAAGATCCCTCCAGGGCTGGCCTTGGAAAAACCCATGACCCTGGGGAGCAGAAGACAACAGAAAAAAGAGAGAGAAAAAAGTGAGAAGCAAGCAAGTTATACATAAGCCATATTTCAGAGAGTTCAGGCATGCTTCTTTCTGCTTTTCTTTGCAAGTAGAGCCATGAATGCTCAGCCTCTCTGAAAGTGATGATACAACAATCTGTCCTCAGACCAGCATAATCTTCTAGCTTCCTTGGGGTCCTTCTGTGTAAAGTCACCGGTGGCTTTAGCAGGGGGGGCACCTCCTGCCGCAGTAGCGGCTGGTGATGCAGGAGAGGTCACAGCAGCCAGAGTTGATGGGCACTCCGTTACAGCTGAGGATGCTGCCAACAGCAGCAGAGGTGGAGGATCCCACCAGGGTGTTCTGCGGGAAGGAGCTGAGGATGGGTCCCGGCAGGGTCACCACCACGGGGGAGGGCTCGATGACGACGGTGGAGTTCTGGCACTGCCTGACACAGGGCTCGTTGCAGCTGTTGGCCAGCGGGGTCGGGCAGCAGGGCTGGCAGGGCAGGCAGGGGGAGCACTGGTTGTAGCAGGACATCTTGTGGGGCCGGAGGTGCACCTGGAAGAGAGGGCAGGGAGGAGCATGGGAGCGTGGCAGAGCATCCTGTCCACCCACCACCAGGGCACCGAGGCTCGTGCTGGGTGGGGAGATGGAGGCCGTGCAGGGAGGCCCATGCGCCTCTTGCCTTCACCCCCCGGGCACCAGGCCAAGAGAGCCAGGCCCAGGAAAGCCCTTTCCCAGCCCACAGCCCAACAGGCCCCTCAGCCCAGACCAACCCATCTCCACACCAGATCTTCTCCCCGCTTCCCCTCCCAAGACAAGCAGCCCTGGTACAGGACAGAGAAGGTATTATCTGACATGTCCATTGAGATATGGCTTCATGCTGTAGGAGCAGGAGAAGGAGAAGGGACTTCGAACTCACCTGGTTCCCAAGGAGCAGAAGGAGAGTGAAGTGGATAGAAGACCAAGGTTCTGCATTGGCTTTTATACTGGTCCTGCACTGCCCCAGGCCCAGAGGTAACCCTAGTAGGGTTAATAATTTTCTGACAAGATCTTCTGACATGTGAGACTTCCCAGTTAATGATGTGTTTCAATTTCCTGGTGCCTTTTCATTTCCATGTTTATGCCATGATCATTTCTTCATGGATGCTTGTTTTCTGTGTTGGAATTAAGAGTTCCTAAAATTTCTCAGGCAGTAACATATCATTGCAGGCATAATACTCACGGCAATTGCTGGAGGGATCCTGCACAGACTAGGGACACTGGCCTGGGGCACTCCTTGGGGGTTGTTTTCAGCCTCATTGGCAGGAAAGACCAAGCTCCTCAGCCCTGGAGTCCTTGACCAGACACCCAAGGACTCCCATACGTGAGGACATTCCATGTCTCTTTCCCTCTCTCCCTCCCAGCCCTTTCTGATTCTTAGTGGTCTTTCTTTTCCCAAGCAACTGAACTGCACTACTGAGTGTCAATATTTTTCCTTCTTACACCAACCTTGAGAGAGATTTCCCAGGCTGTTTGGCTTCCTCCACTCTCTAGACCATATCTGGGGATTGCCAACCAATACATGTTATGAGCCTTATGAGGTTTCCTGGGGTGCTCCAACCCTGCCAGGGCTGTGCCTAGTTGAATCCACCGGTGGTCGTGTGTAGGTATTCTTGCTTGGTGTGTACACTTATGTGTATGATAGATTTATTTGCGTGTAAGATGTGGCCAAACTTGCACGCAATTCCATGCAGGTGAGCATGAGCACATCTGTTTCTATATACCTCATTGTCATCACTAGATATGCTGGTCATGGCAGAGGCTCTTTCCACTTCTCTATCCATGAGCACTACAGAGCTGCAGGTTCCCCAAGTCAGAAAGCTTCAGCAGAGTAGTGACAGCTCCCAGTTGGAGAGGTGCCCCAGCAGCAGAGACTGAGGCAGACTGTTTCCTGTGCCCTTTGTTTCCTGACCTTCAAAAGATCGTGCTTTGCTACTGCAGATTTCAGAGACCAAAAAGGACTGTTTCACTCCAGGTTGGAAATTCTGTATAATGCAACATACCAACAGCTGGAGTTCCTCAGCACTGCCTGTCCCTGCAGGCTAGGTTGCCTCTCCTCTCCTCTCCTCTCCTCTCCTCTCCTCTCCTCTCCTCTCCTCTTTCAAAAGAACACTAGCTTTGTGTCCAGGGAAAATGTTGGGTAACCCTGTCCACCTTGTGCAGGGAAACCTTGAGTGCATCTGCTTCCTGTGCTGTGTTGGTGGTGCCTGTCTCTGTGAAGACAAAAACTTAAGCTACACAGAGCAAGGAAGGCAGGACAGATGGTGACCATCGCCAACCAGGTAGCAGAGGGATGCAGTCAAGATGGGGAAGGCTGAAAGATGGTGACTTCTGGCAATAGAATCATAGAACTGTAGAATAGTTTGGGTTGGAAGGGACCTTAGAGACCATCGAGTTCCAACCCCCCCTGCCCTGGGCAGGGACACCTCCACCAGAACAGGTTGCTCAAAGGCCCATCCAGCCTGGCCTTAAACACTTCCAGGGATGGGGCATCCACAGCTTCCTGGGCAACCTGTTCCAGTGCTTCACCACCCTTACAGTAAAGAATTTCTTCCTAATATCTAGTCTTAATCTTCCCTCTTCCAATTTAAAACCATTATCCCTTGTCCTGTCACTATACTTCCTGACAAAGAGTCCATTGCCAGATCTCCTGTAGGCTCCCTTCAGATATTGAAAGGCTGCTATAAGGTTTCTCCAGAGCCTTCTCTTCTCCAGGCTGAACAACCACAGCTCTCTCAGCCTGTCTCCGTAGGAGAGGTGCTCCATCCCTCTGATCATCTTCGTGGCCCTCCACTGGACCCGTTCCAACAAGTCCATGTCCTTCCTGTGTTGAGGACTCCAGAGCTGGACACAGTACTCCAGGTGGGGTCTCATGAGTGCAAAAAAGGCTTCAGCTCCACCTGCAGAATTTAACTTCAGGACAGGAGCTGTCATCTGGGAACTATTGAGGACAAAAAATGCATTAGAATATTCATCAGACTGAATTGTGCTCAAATAATTTTTCCTGCATGAACAAGAAAAGACCTGTGATATCTTTAGGAGATTCCATCTGTTAGGAATCTTAAGCTAACCTGACCTGGTATCTCCAGAGGTTTCTTGATTGCCAGAGGGCACATACAATATGTTGCAGAGGTACTTCCAGGCTTGTCCTGCCTTTGGAGTATTACCCTTTGCTGCTTTGTGATGTGGGCACCAATGATTATGCCAAAGTGTTTCTATAGTGACTATAGAGCTCTGGAGTGAATTAAAGGTGTGAGAACCCAAACTGGAAAGGCTTGAGTAGAAAAGAACTCATCCAATAGATCAACATGCTTTGTATTGGAGGCAGAACTTGGGTTGTGGTTGCCAGAGAACTGTCTCTGATGAACGAGAACTACTGATCAAGGATGGGAAATATTTGACAGTCTTGCAACATAGTCTTTGCAGTCAGGCATGGTAACAAAGAGAGGAGAACTCCAAAGCAGGTATGGTAAGGGAGGTTTACCATAAAGGACAGAGAAGTGAGAGCATAAGGGGTAGAACAGATAGTTCAAAAGCTATGCCCATGCCCTAATTCTGGTACTGCACTGGTCTTATTTTAAAGCAAACTGGTTTTAAATGAAAATGGGACAAACAACCTGTCCCCTCCCCACACTGTAGCAGTTGAGCACATCATGATGAATTGTTGTCCAAGAAGTTATTTCAGTTGAGAGACACCCCTCATCCCCAACGACTCACAGCTTTGTTCTGCCAGCTCTTACCTCTGAGGAGTAGTGAAAGTAACAGAGGGGTTTGTACTACTTGTTTGTACTACTCAGCTATTGGGGACACAATGTGGGTCATTCTGTGTGATGGCAAATGTTCTGTATCTCTGCAGACAAGTACCACTTGTAAATTGAATACTGAGAAGTCACGTTTAGGACTGTGTTAGCCCTAGTTACAGCCACATTATATGGCTGATGGCTTCCTGCCAAGACACATGTTGGTGCATAGAAATTCTCCTTATGCAGACATACCACCCAGGAAGCTGTTCCATCTAAAACGTGGGTAGTATTCAAGATTTACTCACTTGAGCTCACATCTTAGGCCTGCATTTCCAGACAAGCTACCTAAAAACATTTTCAGGTACAGCAGATCAGCCTGTGTGTCTGAGCCAAGCTACTCCAGTGATCCACATGGTACATATGTATATTTCCCAGTAAATGATCTTCTGATGAGGCAGAGATACAAACAGGGTCACAGAATCATAGAATAATTTGGGTCTGAAAGGACTTCTAAACGCCATCTAGTCCAACCACCCTGCAAAGAGCAGGAACAACTTCAACTAGACCAGGTTGCTCAGAACCCCATCCAACTTGACCTTGAATGTTTCCAGGGATGGGGCACATACCATCTCTCTGGGCAATGTGTTCCAGTGTTTCACCACTCTAATTGTAGAAATTTTTTTCCTAGTACCTAGTCTAAATCTCTCCTCTTTTAGTTTAAAACTGTTGCCCCTTGTCATATCTCAACAGGCCCTTCTAAAAGTGTTCATAAGGACACCCTTATGGTGTCCTTAGTACTCTTTTGTTTTCATATGACTGCAGACTGTGTCTTCCTGTGTTGAGCTGTCTGTGCTTACTTGGAATACATTCTGAGCCTTCCTGCTGGTTCACTCTGGCACATGGAACTGTGGAAGCATTTCTACTGGGCTACCAGATTTGGTGTTCCTGTATAGGAAGGGCTGCAAGGAAGCTCTTCAAGGAATCTTAGCCATGGAAGTCATGTTCAACTTGGCCTTCAAGCTAAACCAGAGGGGAACATGATCACAGGGATAACTTCTCTACTCGGTACTGTTTGCCTTCATGTCTCCCAACTGCATTTTTGTGGTCACTTCACTTGATCTAACAAGGAAATCAGCAAGATAGGAGGACATATCCTGGGAAAGGTGGCAGATGGGACTTTCCTTTAGCTCCTACCCAAGAAGCGTAGTTAAGAATTGCCCATTTTTCATTGGCTGGGATCCTTTCTAGAAGCAGACATTACAAGTTGGACCTGATGACTAAGACACTGTATCTGGGTTGGGGGTTGAAAGAGATCAGTTACCTTCCAGAAGCCACCTATTCCAGCTCCCACCCACAGGAAAGGTCTTGTTAGTGGGTGGGGAACACCCTACAGATGGTGTAGCATGAGGTCTGTATCTCCCCTGGGTCATGTTCAGTGCCTACCAGAGAGAGGTTTCTATAGCTTGGTACTTAAAGTGTATTTCCATGTGCTGGGTGAGGAGAAAAGGGGTGGGGACGTGTGTACTCAGTCTTCTGGGATAGTGGTGGAAGAATGGTCCAGGGGGAGCAAGTCAGACACACTGAAATTCCACACCTGATTTGTTTTCTGAAGTTAAATAGGGATAGGACTGAATGAACATTGTAGAAGCAGCTGCAATGAGACTCTGAAGGAGGATTAAGCCCTTGGGAACTTGGAAAAATGAAAGGAATCATGAGAGAACCCACTAGAGGAGCTGACCTATCTTATCTGACTCAAGGTTGTAGAAGGCTACATAATTACAATCCAAACTGGGTCACTTAATTTAAATCCATCTCTTTGGTTGGGACTAAACCAGGTCTCAGCTAAAAAGAGCATGAGCAGTAGCCCATCTTTAAAGCTCATAAAAAATCAGTGGCATCTGCTACCCACTTCCTTGTTCATTCTTCCCTTGAGTCAAATATTGGCGTTGAATCTGTGCAGTTTAGTGCATTATTGAAGATCTGTTAGACAGAAATGGTTCCCCTTGGCACACACTGGTCCTCCCAGAGTTCCTAGAAGAACAGCTTTTCCACAGTAGCAAGAGAAGACTCAAGGCTCCTGCTGAGCAGGTTGCATGCAATAATTTAAAGATGTGTACAATTTCCCCAGGGACACCTAAGGGCCACCCAGACCTGCCCCAGCAGAGGTGTGGAATGTTTTTTGCTACTCATTAAGACTTGGAAGATAAGTCATTCCCATATGGCTAATTAGGGAGTTTTTCCAGTTTTGTTGGCTTGTTTGTTTTTATTGGCAAGGGAGACAGTAAACAGGAGGATTTTAATAAGCTCTCAAGACAATGGCATATCTTTCTGTCTTCTTTTGTCTGAGCCTTTGCTTTCTGCTAGTAAAGACAAGAATTCTGATGCTGCAAATTCAGTGGATTCATGGGAGATGGAGTATTTACCTCTGGTGAGAATCTCTAGCTTGTACATCCACAGCTTGGCTATGGGGATAATCTGGGAGAGAGAGCAGAAAGTGTTAAGCTAATGTGAACAAAATGTCCACTGATCTGCTTGAATGGTGTGAACCAATTGCATCACCAATATGCATTGTCATGTGTGCATGACTTGCTTTGTCAAATCACAGAATGGTTTGGGTTGGAAGGGACCTTAAAGATTGTTGAGTTCTAACCCCCCCTGCCATGGGCAGGCACACCTCCCACTAGACCAGGTTGCTCAAAGCCCCATCCAGTCTGGTCTTGAACACTTCCAGGGATGGAGCATCCACAACTTCTCTGGGCAACCTGGGCCAGGCTCTCACCACCCTCACAGGAAAGAATTTCTTACTGACGCCTCATTTAAATCTCCCTTCTTTCAGTGTAAAACTATTACTCCCTCACCCTATTGCTACTGATGCCTCATTTAAATCTCCCTTCTTTCAATGTAAAACTATTACTCCCTCACCCTATTGCTACACTTCTTCATAAAGAGTCCCTCTCCATCCCTCCTGTAACCCCTTTAGGTACTGGATGGGTGCTATAAGATGTCCCCAGAGCCTTCTCTTCTCCAGGCTGAACAACCCCAACTCTCTCAGCCTGTCTTCATAGGAGAGATGCTCCTGCCCTCTGATCATCTTCATGGCCCTCCTCTTAACCTGTTCCAACAGGTCTATGCCCTTCCTGCTCTGAAAGATGATTGGAAGTGAACTCGTTACCTGCTGTACCAGCCTGTAAAAGCACCTCTACCCAACTGGTGAACCTCACATCCATGGCAAAGGATTCTAGGGAGAGAGAGGTGGCAGGGAAGGGGGGTTTGTGTGCAAGGAAGAAGTTAGGCAGGTTGCTTTAATCAGCTGCATCTACCACACAATGCACAAATAAATCACTCTCCCTTTAACCGTATTGAGCACTTGGACTTAACACAGGAATGTCAGAAAGTGATTTGTCATGTCCAGCAACTCTCTAGTTTGGCCCTTGACAGTGTAGAGAGTGTCTCTTTGGGTGGAAGTCCAACCTGGATTTCCCGTAAATAAGTAAATGGTGAAATAGAGGTTTACGAGTTTCACAACAGTGAAAGGGCCTTTTCAACTCCACCTGATTCCCCCATACTCCCAGAACACACTGCAGAAAGAATGAGTTGCCCTGAAAGTATATTATGTATGACCTGTGTTTAGCACTGATCTCAAGGTGGGTTTATGACAGTCTTCTTTCCACTGGAGTTTCTGTTGCAAAATAGGTGAATGCTGCTGGCCACAGTTAGGGCTAGGACCCCTCTCAGATACCTTCACCTTCCTTCCTGTGTCCATTTGCTCCCCATAGCCATACAGGCCACTGCATCATGTCCCCAGATCTTCCTTACAGGACCACCCGGATGTGCGGGATACTCAGTGACATCTCAAACCAAAGAAGGCACCAGCAAGCATGTGAGCAGCTGTGTTGATCCAAGGATCTCCACTGAATAAAATTGACCCCAGGGTCATGGTCTGAATGACTTTCTTGCTGGAAATGTGCATGCCCAAAGAAGACAGTTCCCGCTCCAGGATGTTACAGTCAGAAAAAAACAGTGTCACACTTGCCCTAAGACCAAGGCTACATTTCAAGCCATATTGCTTTATTCACTTCACTGATAAAGAGAAGTTCAGCATTTGGTTTCATTTCCCACATACAGTAGCCCCAACCATTCCATTACCTCTAAGGAAAAACAAGTCAGAGAAAGATACTACCTTCTCTTCTCCATTTGACATGTGTTTCCCTAAGGCCCTCTTCTCCCTCTGCCTCTTGCCATTGCACATCCTGGGTGAGAGCCATACACTTGCAGAGGTAGTCCCGGGACAGAGCACATTCCTTCTCATGTTCTCTATCAATTTGCAGTAGAAACAGATTTGCGCTCTAAAATCCACACCTGGTTGAAGCTGTCCGTGCAAGCAGTACCCTCCTCACCACCCTCCCCAGTGCCCCCTTGACCTCTCTGTTCCTCAGACTGTAGATGAGTGGATTGATGAGAGGTGTGAGGACTGTGTAAAAAAAGGAGAACATTTTGTTGAGCTGTCTCAGTGGCACCGTTCTGGGCAGCGTGTAGACAATGATGAGGGTCCCATAGAAAACAATGACCACAGTAAGGTGAGAAGAGCAGGTGGAAAAGGCCTTGTGCCTCCCTGTGGTGGATGGGATCCTCAGGATGGCAGCTATGATGCAGACATAGGATGCCAGAGTGAACAGAAATGGGAAAACTACATCTGGGAAAGATAATATGATAATAAGAATTCTGATCATCCCAGTGTCACTGCAGGAAAGTTCTAGCAATGGGGCTTCTTCACAGAAGAAATGGTCAATTGCATTGGGACCACAGAACCTTTGGCGAGATATGCAAGATGTGATTCCTGTAGAAACCAGCAGTCCTGCACTCCATGATCCAGTCACCAGTTGGAGACATACCTTCCAGTTCATGCGGCTTGCATAAAGCAGAGGTTGACATATGGCCAGATACCGATCATAGGACATGACAGCCAGCAGGTAACATTCAGAAGTTGCAAAAGTGCCAAAGAAGAAAAACTGTGTCATACACCACTGCACAGAGATGGTCCTGTCTCCAGTCAGGAAGCTGACTAGCAGCCTAGGAAGGATGGTAGAGCTGTAGCAAGTTTCTAGGCTGGACAGGTTCACCAGGAAAAAGTACATGGGTGTGTGGAGATGTGGGTCTGTGATCACAAGCACAATTACGAGGGTGTTCCCAACTACGGTCACTGTGTATATGATCAGACAGAGGAGAAAGAGAGATGTCTGGAGTTCATGGGCATCCCCCAGCCCCAGCAAGAAGAATTCCATCAGCAATGTCTGGTTGTCCAATTCCTCTCTCTCCATGCTGTGTTGTAGATCTTTCTTCTTCCCACTTGTCAGGCAGGACAGCTGCAAGATATAGCCTTTCTTGACGTGTTATTTCACAAAGGAACTGTAGAAGCAACTTCTTCTAGAGAAAGCATGGATGCTCACACACACCCAAGAGTTTTCATATGCTCTGTAAGAAATGGAGAGGAGAGGAGAGGAGAGGAGAGGAGAGGAGGAGGAGGAGGAGGGGAGAGGAGAAGGACATTTGAATCAATGCAGCAATGTGAAAAAGCAAGACTGTTCTAGAAGGAAGGAAATAGGTCAGAGAAGATCATGAAGATCATGTGCTTCATATCTTTTCCCCTTCAGCTGTAGTCTCTGAGTGCATTTGGGCTGCCTTCTTGCAGCAGCACAGTATCTGTACCTTCACACTTCAAGATGTGCTCTAAGAGCTCTCTGCTGTGATAGGGGAAGGGATGGTAAGTGGGAAATGAGATGGGGCAGGCGCTGTATCTAGTATGTGATGGAGGTAAACACCCAGTAGGCATTTGTGTATGTGAACAGGGAAGCCCCATGCTGAGAAACAAAACCCTCTGCCCAATCCTTCTCCTTGCATTTCTGCAAAACTGAGGTGGGATGCACTGATGTGTATGTGGTTTCCCATCTGATGACTTCATAGCTTTTACAGTGAGTTGGAGACAACCATGGCAGGCACCTACACAGAACAGACAGTTGCTGGGAAGGACTAGCACCTCAAAATGGGCAATCACACCAGTTTCATGACAGCCCTCTCCTGGGCTGGGAAGAGCTGTCCTGTGAAGTATTCCTATTGAGAGAGGGCCTCAAAATCAGTGCTGTACCTGAGAGCAGTGTAGGGTTTAATGTGAGAAAGCTGAAAATGGGAGACTGATCCCCGAGACAAAAGTGAGAGAGATAGATAAAGATAAGTGAAATTTCACTGTGGGAGCTGAAGTGACATGTGCAGGTACTCTGGGCCTACACACCTGCCCAGATCCTTCCTACAGCCCAACCGAGATACAGGAGTCCCCTCTCTCAGGCTCCCGCACAGCAGCAGAGCTCTAACTGGTCAGTGACAGCCCCACATCCTGAAGGCTCAGCAATGCCAAGGACACAGAGGCAGTGCCTAGAGGAAGGAGTGAGCTCAGGAAGGAAGACACCCAGGAAAGGACAAGACAGAAGCACAGGTCTTGTATAACCAACACCACACAAACTCCCAGGAGCTAAATAACAACACCAAATCTGCCTGTGCAAATGCAGCACCTACCTGTAACCCTCAGAGTGAAGCACTGACTTCTCTGATGGTACCTGCAAACAAAAACCAGGGGCTGGATCTTACAGTCAGTTGCTTCTTGTCCACTTCGTTCCCTTCCTTCTTATCTCTGCAGACCCCCAATGCCTGCTACACTGGCAGCTACACTCCTGTACTCTGCTCCCAGCAGTTTTTGCTGTGAGTCAACAGCAGCACCTGAATGTACCTGCTCTCCAGCCTCTCCCGCTGCTTATAGAAGGAATCAGCCTCCTGATGGGTCTTGCTGCATTTCCTCTCTCCTTGGGACTACAGGGAGTGAGCACTGTGTAACTAGTCCCTAGGGGGAGGAAATTCTGAGCTGGTGGAAAGAGCGTGAGCAACTCCAGCAAGGGCTACCCCTCCTCAGATCTCCGTGGCAATTCAGCCTGCCCTGAGGAGGAGCAAAACTGAGGCAGAATAATAAGCAATGCAAAGGCTTCTATAAACACTGCAGCAAAGACAAGGGAGACCCCAGGAAGGGGATTCAGATCTTCCCCTACAGAAGACTACAATGGAAATGATTCCTTCAGAAACAGGCAGCTGTAGCTCATGACAGTCTTCTTTCCCATGTTTACCAATGCTCAGTGAGGAGAAAAAAAGACAAGCAGCAGACACTTTTTCCACTACGTGGTGACCTGCAAGGTGGGATGGGATGTCACTTTTGCCGGGGCCACCCAAATCTCACTTTGGTAATCAAGAGCTAGACTCATCAGAGCTGAAGTGAGCTGAGCTGCCCATATGACCCTGTAGTTTTGACTCACCTTTTCAAAATGAGAAATCCATGATGCCTTGATTGGTTTCTCTCTCCACTGGCTGGCAAGGCAGGAAAGGGTGGCCAGTTCACATGGACTTTGGTGCCCTGGCTCCTCAGGACAGGTGATATGAATCTCAAAGAAAGGGTGAGTTTCTGCTGAGAGTCACACCCTCTACTGTGAGCATCAACATGGAGGTGCCCACATCTGGACTCCACATGTATGGTACTCATCCAGCTAGTAGTGGTTGAAGGAGGGAGCCTGTCACCTTCACACTAGAGTTTTTCCACTGTCCAGTGGGTCTCTTTGGTCTCCCACTGCTACTTAAAGAGGAGCAGAGTTGCTTCCAACCCTTGTGTCATAGTTTTCTGCCCCATATGGATGCCTCAAACAGCCCATGAACAACAGAATTCCTTCCAGGGCCCTGTGTTCAGACAGACCTACCCCAGCACTGCATGTGGATTCTCAGCTGCAGGGTGCTGACTTCCCAACTGGATCCCACCCTATGGATTTGATCCTGTGTATCAGAGAGGACATTCAGTTCACTTGAGAAGGCCCAGGGTACCCCATTGACATTCTACTGCTGGTCCAGGTCAACCTGCCTCTCCTAGAGGACCTGGGCTCTCACTGGTAGCCCTAAGCCAGGCCTTGCATAATCCAATTTATGTCAGATGACCAGTGATTTAAATGATCTGGAATTGTGTCCTGGTTTCAGCTGGGATATACTTCATTTTCTTTCTAGTAGCTGCTGTGTTTTGGGTTTGGCATGAGAATAATGCTGATAACACAGACTGTTTTAGTTATTGCTAAGTGAGGGACTTTGCTAAGCTAAGGACTTTTTCAGCTTCCCATAGAAGCTGAGAGGAAGCATAGACAGAACAAGCTGGCCAAAGGAATATTCCATACCATATATGTCATGCTCGTTATATAAAGAAGTGTTGGCTGGGGGGGCAGGGATCCACACTCACTGCTTGGGATGGGCTGGACAACCAATTGCCGGGTGGTGAGAGTGACTTGTGTTGTATTACTTTATTTTTTATATTTTTTTACCATTATTATTTTTGTTATTATTAGTATTATTTTCTTTTTCTGTTATTGTTCTGTTAAACTGCCTTTATCTCAACCCACGAGGTTTTTTTTCCTTTCCCCTCATCTCCCTCTTCTCCATACCCTATTGGGTGGGGGTGGGGAGCGAATGCATCGCTGTGTGGTACTAGTTGCTGGAGTTAAACCATGACAAATTGTCCGCAGACCTCAGTGTCCTGCACTCATCTGTGTCTTGGGTCCCTTAACACTCAACAGGTAGAATCCACCCAAAAATGAAACATCATCCCAGCCAGGAAAGTAAGGAACTACAGACACCTGTAGAAGGTGTGATCCAGACTCAGTGGGCTTTCTAAAGCTTTTCTACAACTATCACGGACAGCTGAGCCGATGAGGGTAGACATTATCACAGAGAACCACAGAATTATAGGGGGTGGAAGGGACCTTTGGAGATCATATAGTGCAATCCCCTGCTAGAGCAGGGTCACCCAGAGTGACCCTGCTCATCACCTGCACCCTTTCCTCATCAGAAAGGTGCTCCAGTCCCTTGATCATCTTCATAGCATCTGCTGGATTCTCTCCAGTAGTTCCCTGTTCTTCTTGAGCTAGAGGGCCCAGAACTGCACACAGGACTCCAGATGTCACCAGGTCAGAGTAGAAGAGGAGGATGACCTCCCTTCACCTGCTGGCCACACTGTTCTTGATGCACCCCAGGAGACCGTTGGCCTTCTTGGCCATCAGGGCACATTGCTGCCTCATGGTCAACTTGTCACCTTGGAGGCTTGGTTCAATTGCCCCATACTGCTGTTGATATATAGATACACTGGAGTATTCAGAACATGCATGAAAACTGGTACATTTA